CCTGGTCAGGTGCCACCATCTCTGCCACTGCCCTGTCTTCCCTGCTGTGAGTCACTTTGTGTGATCTGACAATCAATGATTCCACCCTTCACTGATGTGGATACATTATCTGGGACTGGGTATGTCATCTCCAAACACAAATAGGGTTTGGTCAGCGATTGATGCTGAACCCTTTGGTGCCTGATTTTGACCTTAGGGTTTTTTTTAAAATAAGGGTTTCTGAAGAGAAGCTTCATTGGTACCTTAAGAGAAGTGATTGAATTGTTCTACGCCATTGAATAATATATAAAAGTCACTTTTCCACGTTGCTGTTAACTTTACACTGCTGAGATAAGCAGGCTGTTGACAAGTTAGCATCAACAGCACATTATCAGAGAAAGACAGGCTTGTATTTAGAATATTTACACAAATTTATTACCCTCCTATGTCTCAGTAAAGCAATTTGAAAAAATATAGCTTTATAAGGCATAAATGAACATGTACGTTTTAACTAAGGTACTTTCTCGTAAACAATGCCAATACGTTTCAGGAAATATTTTAGTCTTTAGAGAATAAGTAAGGCAAAAATAGGACCAGGAGTCTAGAGCTGACCTCCCCTCACCACAAGGCCAAGTCTTTTTTCTTGAGACGGAGTTTCACTCTTTTTACCCACGCAGTAGTGCAATGGTGCCATCTTGGCCCACTGCAACCTCTGCCCTCCCCCTGGATTCAAGTGATTCTCCTGTCTCAGCCTCCTGACTAGCTAGGATTACAGAAGCATGCCACCACGCCCGGCTAATTTTTGTATTTTTAGTAGAGATGGGGTTTCATCACATTGGTCAGGCTGGTCTCAAACCACTGACCTCAGGTGATCCACCTGCCTCAGCCTCCCAATGTGCTGGGATTACAGGCGTGAGCCACTGTGTCCAGCCAAGGCCAAGTCTTTTACCACTGGAGAGACAGAAGTCACACACTGGGCATATGAGACAACGCTCCTCAGTGACCATGATGGATCAGGACAAAAAAAGAGAACATTTTATAACTACATTTCTAAATGTGATAAAAGAAAACATATTTCAAATCATAACCATGACCAAAATTTTTCTCTTCTTACTAATGTGACTTGTAATTCTCATACATCCCACAGTCATTTATGACTTGTGGTCATATTTACCACTACGCTATATTACACCCTTGCTGACAGCAGGTATGGCACTGGTGGTTTTGGGGAACAAGGCACTCAGAGGTATATGAGATAACTTTTGGTATTATGAGTGAATGAAAAATTAGGGTTAAGGCTGGGCCCAGTGCTTCATGTCTGGAATCCTAGCACTTTAGGAAGCCAAGGTGGGTGGATCACGAGGTCTGGAGTTTGAGACTAGCCTGGCTAATATGGTAAAATTCCATCTCTACTAAAAAATACAAATATTAGCTGGTGGGGCACGCCTGTAGTCCCAGCTACTCATGGGGGTGAAGCAGGAGAATCGCTTGAACCTAGGAGGTGGAGGTGGCAGTAAGCTGTGATGCACCACTGCACTCTATCCTGGGCGACAGAATGCGACTGTTTAAAACACACACACACACAGCAAAATTAGGGTCGAAATAAAAAATAAGTACATAAGCATGAAAAGTAAAATTTCTTTTTTTTTTTTT